AGACACCTTACCAACCATTTACAGACAGCTTACCAACTACTTACAGACACCTTACCAACCACTTACTGACACCTTACCAACCACTTACTGACACCTTACCAACCACTTACAGACATCTTACAAACCACTTACAGACACCTTACCAACCACTTACAGACACCTTACCAACTACACTGTACTTACTGACACCTTACCAACTACACTGTACTTACTGACACCTTACCTAAAACACATACAGACATCTACTATAATTCTAACTGTACCTTCAGTCTTATTGTCCGACTCTTTCGTTCATAACTCAATGCAAATGGAAATCCTTTCTTTGGGTCAATATTCTTCCATCCTGTCACATTTAGATAGAAAGACCTTGCCGTGTCTATTGATATTTTACATTTTTTTAAAGTAGATGGGATGATAATCTCTGTGGTGGATCTTCTAAGAGGAAAGACTGGCACTGACCATGGAGGACCTTTCAGACTAAAATTACAACCTACATGTAGTAGAAAAAATGCACAAAATTGGAGTGAAGAAGTTATGCCCATGAAACAAAATCTCACATTGTAGTCAATGTGCAAAGTTGTAATAATGCACATACAGGTAGCTATAGGACTTGTTTTAAATTAGCAGGAGGGGAGGGGAGGTGGAAATTGAAATGTGGGCACTGRGAATAAGTTGGGGAGGGTCAAATAAGGTGACCTACCAGAGAAGTGGAAGTGAAATTTTCTCACCCTCCCAAAATGACTGATATTCATTCCTAACTGCAATATAGTTATCATCAATTATACCTACCCGACCAGACACCATATTTGGCTGTGCACTTCTGTGTATTTTCCATATAAGTCCCTTTATCACGTGGGCAGATGCACTTACAAGACCTAGGATCCTTGACCATGGCACCAAGACTTTGGCAGACATTCTTTGCTGGTACCAAGCATTTCGATGGTGTGATATTGTCTCTTGAATTACGAAAAATGGAGCACGTAGTAGTACTGCGTATCTTGTGAATAGTCATTAGAATTACCACCAATGAAATATAAAATGCCTTCTTTTTAGACATGTTTTGTGTTCCAAAAGTTTAACAGTAGAAGTACATGTAATATGGAGAACTTGTGAAGATGGTCCAAAGGTTGTAACATACAGTTCTGTGTCAGCAGATGCTTTTACGGTTGAAATATTATTGAACTGATGAGGTCAATTGTACATTAAATAAATATAGTGTAATAGTCGTCATTTACAGCAACTTTCCATTGTCAAATCTGGTTATCCCCTTGTACTTTTAAAAGGAAGTCTTTAATAAAACTTTTAACTTTAATATGCAAAGTTATACATATACAAATCTTGGTTGCAAGTGAATTTTAAGAGAACTTTGAGCAAATTTCAAACGGCGAATTTCAAAACTTGAATTCTGCAATAAAAATTATAGAAAAAGCAACTTAATATTATAAAATTCATATGATGACTAAATTAATATTCTTACCCATTAGTGTTATATGAGTAGAAACATGTATAATTTAATTGCATTATGATAATATCATACTTGTGACTACATTCATTGAAATACAGAAGAAATGTTCTTCAATATTGATACATGTAATTTCATAATAGATTCAGAGCTTTGTCTCAGGGACTCTATAGAGAAAATGACCTGAAGTGTTTCCATGTAATTAATGACCATGCAGCACTAATTATAAACAAAGCTAGGAGGCTGTAGTACAAACCTACAGACCAATTTAGTCTGCAAATCACAGAAAAGTGGTATTCCACTACTGTTTTTTTTTCTTTGCAATACATGCATGGTGTGCATAGCTGTGTCAAACTTTTCAACTTGCTTTTTGCATTTCTTTGAATTTTGAGGTATAAGTGTGTTTGTTAAACGATGTAAGTGGCATTGCTGAGATGATTCAAGGGTTAGTGAGTTGATAAATAACCAAGACCAAAATGAGTAAAAAACACTTGAATATTTCACTTAATTTGCTCACTTCATAAATCTTCTTATATTTTCACGATGCAAAGTTCTAAAAACTTTATTATCTTTTATTGATATTTGATTAAAACCCTAAGTTATGTTGTTGTGCATAACATGTAACTTAGTATAGTTTTTTTTATCATTCAAGGTGAAGCTGGGARTCAAACCAATATTTCATACGCGCATTTMAAAACATGAAGCTGAAATGTAAGCAGCTTTTAGTTTARCTTAGTCAATTTACAGTAACCCGAGAGCTTWTTGCTAYAAGCATCGGTGTAAAAAGGTAGATATTTCTTCTGCCGAAAGAGCAGTGAAGTAGTAAGTTAAGTATTAAAGTAACTAATTTTTTACTGTCTGAAACGAAACTAGCAAACCGCAAAATTCGTGTAAAAATTAAAGGAACGGTTGCTTGAGCCATCAAGTTGAATGAGCCCCAATATTTTACTTTAAACATACCTTTTTGTCCTAGGAAGATAGTTCAAAATCTTCTTAAAGCATAGTTTGAGTACTTTTCACCAAGGAATTTATGACAATCGCGATAAAAAATACACCTTATTAGTCATAGTTTTTCATACATTCATAATGAGCGTCACGCCGTCCGCCATGTTTCCTTTTTCGCTTTCACAGGGAGTGCGCGCCGGAAGTACACGTAAATAATACACAGGAAGCCCGAATCATTTCCTAATCTTTATTGATAACAATTATTAAAAATAGGCAGTCTAGTACTACATGTGACTCAGGCCATTAAGAGATTTAGAAAAATTCGAGTTTGCTGCGTTGCAAAATGCCACAACGCGGACTTGAAATGGCGAACGGTGATAGAAAGACCCACAATGCATTTCGCTCTTGGAATACACTTTCTTCAGTATTCAGCGTTTTCTACAATTGAAAGCATCAAGTCTCGATCAAACATTACGTACGTTGCTTGTATAAATACACACCAGTCGGTGATTCCGAGGGACCAAGAAACCCATTGGGGCCTGACGCGGGGCGCCCTAATTCCCACTACGCCCACAGTAAACATATCCTTCCGAAAGATTCGGAAAAAGAATTTTTATCCACGACATGTAGAAAATAAATCTATCAAATCGATCGCGGCGCTGGTAAAAATATATATTTCACGGSAAAACTGGATACAGTATGTTCCACGAAGTGGTTCTTGTTTTATCAATTTTATACGGATTGCCATTCATCCTCTTCAATTGTTAACATTGATTATATTTTAGATTTAATAATGATTTGATTCAATATTAATCCATTTGTAAACTTTTATATCACCAAGAACGAACATGTTGAACGTTCGAGTGTAATATTCGAAGTTCAGAGTTCTTCAATTGTGTTCCATTACCGATCCCGGCAAATCTTTGGCAACAGTTAGTATCTGCCTGGTCTGTTAACCACTTACCTGTGGTGATTTGGAAAATAATGGCGACAATTGAACAGCTTGATGAAAGCCGTCACATTACATCGAGTACATGGGCATTCGACCGCAAACCAACACTTGGCAACCATTTCCAGCATGCTAMCGTTTCCACCCCATCAAATAATAAATCGACTGAAGAATGATTATGCAAACCCTGTATCCTTTTGCTAATTCTTGAGCTGAGCTCTGATTGGTTCGCTGCTCCCTAAGGATTTTGGTGACGTCATATATTAGCATAAAACTTCGCCGAATAGACTATCCCGATTAGGTATTATATATCTATAAGTGTCTTCATAGTACGATGGTCTAAGAGGGTAGCTAAAGGTATACTCTAGTGGGCGGCTACCCCCTCACTCCCTGGCCTTTTGGTTAAGACTAAGTTTTATGTTCACTCGGGGTAGCGTGGAAGAGCCGAAATCTCTAACCGTAACGTAAGCCGATTCGACGCCTCAGCTTCATAGAATGTCTCGGGGGAATCGTCCCATCTTTTTAGTTGTCTATTTTCATTATTTCTTATGTATGCCAGGGGGTATATCTTCTGCTGAAGTGAAAGTTCTGAGTTCGAGCCCTGAAGCCGGAATTTCTATTTTTTGATTGTTTGTATTTTTTTCTTTTTTGGCTTGCTTCTTGTTTTGTTTTCTTTTTCTTTTCTTCTTTTTCTTTTCTGTTGCTACTTTGTCTTTCTCTAGAGATTTAATTTTTTCTTTTCAATAACTTAAAAATATCAGGGACTAGCAAGGAACGCCTGCTACAAATGGGTGGTTACGGTTCGATCACTCAACACGATGACCTTTCGTCACAANTCACTCTCATGGGAATGGTTGAAAACCATCAATTAGAGGTAAGAAAAACGACTTTTATGCAAACAAAAAAAAAACAAAATTTACGAAACAAACAAATAATATGACAATCAAAATCGATCAATCAGGCTTTACTATATATAATGGCAATTTTATTATAAATGTCTATTTGGCTGCACTTATATTATGTACATCAATTTCTTCGTGCGAATGATTCTCAGTAAATAACGCGTTTCGCTTTTTTTAAATCAACCGAACCGCTACATGAAATTCGCTGTATTCCTGCGAAGGAATTAATTATAAATCTTTTCTTAATTTTCCAAGTCTTTTCTCATTCATTTTAAACATTTTACCTTAAATGGTATCATTGTTCTTATTTGGTATCTATGTCCATATTTGGCACTACGATATGATAATTTTTGGAGTTACTAAATCGAGCGTTTGTCAAAAATTAAAAACGTTTTATAAGGGGCAACAATTATAACTATTATTTTTGCTATATTTTCTGTTATGTTTGCAAAATATAAAAGCGAGAAAGCATGGTTACCTAGTAAAGGCGCTCGTGTCGATAACTAAAACGTAACAGCTAACTTTAACGTTATAACTTAAAAATTAATATGCGATGTTGGTTTACACGTAGATTATTGCAGAGCGGCATTATCGTCCAGCTTAAGTTCAAATTGCTCGCGTTCTCAGTGCCAAAGAGCCAAGCCTACGAGGTTATATACTTGCATTCCCAGAATCCATTTCGGTAGTTAACACTCAAGATGAGCAGTATGTCAATATTATTATGCTGAAAACATCAGTCCATGATTTCGTCATTTTAAGTCACATCAGCTCCTCTACATTGATATTTTACGTAGTTCCAATTTAAAACTACGGAAAAATAATCACAGTTAGTCTTCAGCGTCCGTGGTGTTTCGTACCATGGGAACCAGGATTGCGGCAATGAAAGTCTAAAACATTATAGTCAAACGCTTTAAGGAAATCATCAACACCGCACTGCAAAAATCAGTGTAAAACGCCCTTAATGCGATTTCTTTTTCTTGTTTTTGTTGCAAACAGTATAATTTTATAAAATGTCGGTTTGACTTCTTCAATTCAATGTACATGTGTACATAATGTTCTCTTTAAAATGTCCCTCAGTGTTTAATTCCATTGAAGTTCCAGACATAATCCATAAAGTAGTCATGCGAGTTGGCTTTTCTTCATTAAGCAAAAGTTAATGTYCATTCAGATGAATYGAGTTAGCGCGGGACATCTTTCAACAACTATGCATCCATAACCCGTGAGACGTTTAGGAAACTGAACAATTCCTGAAAATTGCGATGTGAGCCAGCACACCACGGGRCCAGCAGATTCTTAAAGATACTCCTCCTAACCATTTATATCGAKYWATWTCTTGGCTGCTTCGTCATTAGCTGTTCCACCAATGTACTACACCGCATACTAAGACGCMAAGAAGAAKCTGTGACGAGAATCGCGGATGAAAAGCAGGACTGCTGTTTCCCTTTCTTGCAAGCGTAATTACTAAACGTATGAAGGAAACATATGTTAAAAACTAAATTAAAAAACATTAAATTAAGATTATTTATAGCAGGCGTGCGTATGAAAGTGAGGTGTTTCCAAATAGACAAGCGAACTTCCGAGCCCTGCCCGAGCTACCTCATTTCCATACTTACGCCTTCGATGTTTTTGAAGGTGCCTGCATATCACCGAGTCTTATTAGTCGCTTATAGAGCTGATTTCGTATTAGTGGGAAACGGATGGTACTGTACTGTGACCGTAATCGTACTGTAACCAAATTCTAGTGCCCCATTGGTTCACCAAAATTGTGCAGGCCAGGTCCGGTAACTGTGCGGTAACCGTGCGGTAACCGTGCGGTAACCGTGCGGTAACGGTGTCCCACTCATACGAAATCCGCTCTATGATTAAAATCAAAGTACATATGACTTGAAAACACTGACCTTTCCCAGCCTTGATGGGTGGTGACCGCGGACCTATTGCGTAATGCTCTCCATCAACCAATCKGAACCCCGCCACTTGAAAATGGTAATCGCCTCCTTTAATCAATCTTTGTATGGTTCTTTCGTTACGGTCTCTCTCGACGTCTACATACTTGATCTTTTTATCTAATCCCCAGTAAAATACCTGAAAATAACATAATCAAAACCGGTTGATTTAAAAGTGTGATGAGCGGGATCCCTTTGGTCTGAGGGCCGGGTTACCAAGGGGTTCTTATCCAACATGGCCGAGATGGCCGACTGCTTGTTGCTGTATTACTAGACCTGCAAGTATTTGACAACTCATAGCCCTAAATTCGTGATAATTACAAAAGGTTTAAATATTTTTTTGTGTCAGATAAGGTAAGATTGCGATACATATTTGATAAGAGTTACATAAGACAATAATTTGGGACTTTTTGGAATTATTTTCTGTCAGCCAGCTTACCCGATAACCATCAATAGAAGGTTTGGTGATCTTGTTCCATTTGATTGACGCTTCACGCTGGAATTCATCGTAAGATGCAGAAACACTATTCGGCCAGGATAGAGGAACTGTGAAGCATAAACTTTGTTAGTTAGTTTTTAAACGTTTTGTCATAGAAAAACAACAACAACAACAACACTAACAAGAAAATCTCTCGTTCTTGATTGATAAAAGGGTTTACTAGTAACAAAAGTTGATCTTTAGAGTGCACGTCACATAAGCATGAAACAATCCTTAATATGTATTGCTAAATAAGATTTAGTTATCAACTAACTAAGAATTCAACAAAGCATAAACACAATGCCAATTATTTAAATTTCTTTGTAGCATTGTTCTCAATTCTTAGTTAGTTGATAACTAAATCTTATTTAGCACTACATAGTTAAGAATTGTTTCATGCTTATGTGACTTGCACTCTACTCAACACTCTGTCTTCGTTTTAGACTATTAATTCATTTATTCAGTGCCCTCTTCATCCATGGTACTCAAAAACTCCCAAACCCACCCCTCCTCAGTCCACAGTATGCTTACCTATAGCAAGATCAAAGTCCGCCATGACGGGTGGTCCTTCGCCAATTTTATTTATTGCCCGWACAGAGAACTGGTACCTAGTCTGTAAATCTAAGTTATGGACTCGTAATTGCGTGGAGTAATTGGTAGCACCGCTGACCGTTTTGCTGTCCACAAGCCTGAAATAAAAGAAGTTTTATTATGTCATTGTTTACGCTTTTTATCAGCATGTATGAGACAAGAAGGGAGGAGAACTAAAGGCAGGAATTAAGAAGACAGTTGAAGATGTAATGATAGGTTGGTTCAGATAAATAGCTTATTCAAAATAGTCAAGGGCGGATCCAGGAGTTTCTTCAGGGAGGATTGC